CAGGAATTTGTTACTTGGTGGCTACAGAATTTCTATTTAAGAAATGAAAACTTTCTGGAAACGGATAGTGGTGATTCATTCCATTGTGAAAGTTTTTATTGCCCCTGAAAACCCTTAAAATGGGTTGTGTCAATTTTTATCCACTATGTACATTTTGTAACATTTTCTATATATAAATAAAGCTGTTCCAGAGGACATAACCTAATTTCCTAGCTGGGTTATGTGTTTGCATTTCTGAGACAGAGTCTCCCCACGTTGACTTGGAGTTTTCAATCCTCTGCCGTAGGCTCCCAAGTGTTAGGATCACAGTGTGCTCTTTAAATGCTTCATCACTCACCTCGTGCCCCAGTGACCTCCTGCTTAATTTCCTTGCAGCTTCTGAACAGAGAGGAAGACACAGGATTGGCCCGGCTGTTGGTGTCCGGGTTCTCTTTAACTAGAGAAGATGCAGAGTTTCACTCTCCTGGGACACCCAGCCTCCCCTATCATTCCTCCTAAACTCATACCACGACTTCTCAAAACCTCCCTCTGAGAATCAGCAAGATTTCTAACTAGGAAGAAAGACAAGAGATTTGAAGTGTGGAGAACTTTGTGTCCAAAGTCTGAAAAGGAGGAATAAAGTGAAGTTCAACTTTGCAGGTAGGAGAAATGCAGGGAGCCTAATGTGTCTGAATCATGGGTAGTGAAGTAGACAGTGCAGAGGGTTGACTAAGAGACCATGGAATAAAAAAAGGCTTGTAATCTTCCCTCAAAGTCATCTGCGAACCTAGAAGTGTGGAAGCAAATAAGAACATTGGGATCAGAGCTGCTCAGGTGTAAGTAGCTCCATGTTTCCCAGTATTTTTGGGTTGTATTTACTGTGTCAAGCTTCAGCTCCCCATCAAGCTGAAAAAAGACTGCCGTGTGGAGATCAAGTAAGATGGCATTTAGGGACTTGTCTTCTTTCTTAAAACTACAGTGAAGAGGAATTACATATTTTAAAACAGTGTTGAGTTCTTATAAAGAGCAGACTTGAAGAAAACATTCTCCTGGAACAAACAAGATTGTGCACTTGGCATTGAAAGCCTTAAGCAAAGATCCCAAGCATAGGGAGTGAGTAGGATGGGGCAGTTCTTGCAGCAGTTCCCCTAGAGCTACAAGTACGGAATCTGCACCAGGACTTACCTTGACAATCTCATTGCCACTGACCAATTCCTTCAAGAGGCAATCAGTACCCAGCCTATATCTCATGGACTGTGTTGTATTTACATGTCCAGAAATACACACACACACACACACACACACACACACGCACACACACACAGAAAAAGAGAGAGAGAGGGAGAGAGAGAGAGAAAGAGAAACACACACAAACACGTGTGTGTGTATACACATAATTAAACAAATAGAGGCATTTAGCTTTGTAGAATGTGTAAATGAGGATAATTGGGAAATATTAGAAGGAGAAAAAGGAATAGGAAAACAATACAATTACATTTTTGGCCAACCTGGTCTACAGATGGAGTTCTAGGACAGTCAGGGCTACACAGAAAAATCCTGTCTCAAACAACAAACAAACAAACAAACAATAACAAAAGTATAATCCCTGGCCCTCAGAGACCCAGGACATGGAAGCAACTCCATCTAGTGTTGATTTCCTTTTAAACTAGATGGTAATCTGAGGAATCTGGGGTCCTGTATCAGTACTTACATGCACTGCAACTTCTGGTGACCACAATGATAAACAGCAGGAAACCAAGCTTTATCATGGTCATCTAGAGAAAAACAAGAAGAAGGTCACTCTCTATAAAGACCATCTTTTTCCCCATCACAGTCTCAGCTCCTATCTAGTCCCATTTAAAGGCTCCTTCCTTTTCTTTAAACTCCTCGCATTACTGGATCCTAAAGCAGACCTGAGCCGGAGTCCACTTTCCTTCTTCCAGCGACAGCCACTACCTTCCCCTCTATACCTGGCCAGACACTCAGAGTAGCCTGCTGAGTTGAAGTAAGCCTCTCTCTCCTCTCTCTCTCTCTCTCTCTCTCTCTCTCTCTCTCTCTGGTCCAAGTGAGGCTCTTGTCCTTTTATGGGAAGAGCCTGGTGAAAATAGCCCAGACTCTACCAGGCTCCCCCTTTTCTGGCAGGATGCCACTGCAGGGGCAACTTTTATTTCCTACAAGAAAGTTCTTTGTACAGTGATGACTCAGGGGATTAAAGCCTCAAAGAGACATATTTAGAAATATCATATTCTAGCACTCTTATTAGGTTTGTGAATTTCACTGAATTGTGTATTTTCCAAAAAGGAAATAGATGAGGAGACTTGCAACATTTGACACCCATTTGAATTTTTGTGTGTGTGTGTGTGTCTTTCTTGGAAAATTAAAACCAGCAAATACTAAAAAAAAAATGGCAAATACTTATAATTACCCTTATTTGGGGGGAGTTTACAACGTATAAAAGAGTACATTTCATGTAGCCTAGGCTGGCCTCAATCTCACTGTTCAGGTGAAGATGTCCTTGAACTCCTGATTCTTTATATTCTGCCTCCTGAGTGCAGGGATTATAGACACACACCATAAAACCTAACTATAAAAAGGAAAGTTTAATTACAAAATAGTAAAATAATCATCTAAGAATGAATATAAATGTTTAGTCTGCATAAATTGAGTTCCATACAACCCTCACTATTTGTCCTTCATTTTCTCATAATTGCTACAAACTCATAAAATTTTACAATAGACTGAACTTGGGATGAAGTCACGAGGAATCCCCCCTGAAGAAGCTTTGAGCTTCCTCTATCCCCACTTTTTGTTTCTCCAGCTCTCTGATACCACTTTGGTCTATAATGGAATGAACTTCCTTTCCCCGAGCAATGAAACATTCTCAATACCAAGCTTTATTATAATACCAATAATATTGTAATCATTTGGGAGTCACCTTTTGGTTAAGCTTATAGTTTAAATCATTGTATGTTCAAAGGACTGATTTACACAATATAATTCAGATTGATTGGTAGAATAAAATGAAACAAAGGTGTGTAGCTCAGCTGGTAGAACGTTTGCCTTGTATACATGAACTATAGGCTCAAAACCTTGCATCATGTAAACCAGGTATGGTGGGACATGCCTGAAATTCCTGCCCTTGGGAAGTGCAAGTAGGAGGATCGGAAGTTTGGCATTATCCTCTACAACATGGCCAGATGGGAGGACAGCCTCTGGAACGTTAGAACCTAGTAACAAAACAAAACAAAACAAATGAACTGTTCACACACAAATAAACCTGTACATCTTTTAGTGAATAAGTTCAAGGTCATTTTCATCTCCATTTTGAGCTGGAAGTCACCCTGGGCTACAGAAGACCCCGTCTGTACTACTTTATTCCATTGGTTCCTAGATTGCTGCTGTAAGGATGAGTCTTCAGCAGCTCAACAATTGAAGGGGAGCCATAAAGTCTCCGACTAGTTTCTCAGTTGATATTTCTATCTGAGGGAGTAAAATTTCATTTTGGGGCTGACGAAAAAGCAACACACACACACACACACACACACACACACACACACACCCCTTTAGGGTCTATCATTTTCTATATCCTCTTTATTCTTTTAAACACCCTTACTGGATTCCCTACACCATGTTCATTACAGAGACGATTTTCTGTATAATGGAAAGATATTGTTACTACATAATCATCATCAAAATGTTTTTCTGAAACAAGTCAACCCCAATACATTTTTTAAGCACATCTGATTGCATTTCCTGAGAAACCCACACTTAGTCAAACACTTATCTTTTAGACTTCTCACAGATCAGGAGCCTGCCACCCATAACTGTGTAAATAGGCAGTAACGCTTATAATTGCCAGGAAAACAGGTTACTTGTTTCACTTTTCATATTTAGAACCCTGTCCAGTTATCTTAAGTAACCATCCAATTCTTTACTTTCTACTTACACAAAACCGGTCGTTTAAAGCTTCGTTTTAGCTATGTCACATACCAAAAGTCATGAATGCATTTCCCAATATCAAGAAGCACTTGCGTTAACTCCTGGGACTCAGTTGTTTTCCTAATCCTTAACTCTTATATTAATTTAACCCATTTTTGTTAATCCGTATATCACCACATGGCTGTAGCTTACTGGGTAAAATTCCCAGCATCTGTGTCTGGCAGTTCCATTGCTTCTCTCTGACTCCACCCTTCTTTCTCCCAGTATTCACTTTTGTTTTCTCTGCCTAGCTCTGTTCTTTTGCCCTATCACAGGCCAAGACAATTTCTTTATTTATTAACCAAAAAAAGCAACACATAGACAGAAGGACCTCTCACACCATGCCACTTTTCCAGAGGTCCCGAGTTTAATTCCCAGCACCCATGTCAGGAGGGTCCAACACCAGTGACCTCCATAGACACCCATTGCCCACATGCATGCACAGACACCCACACACAATTAAAATTGAAATAAAAAGTAAACATATCACTTTATGAAATAAAAACTTTAGAAAGAGACAAGTCTCCAGGCTTAACTGACATATTAGTTTATGTCTTCAAGACCATAAGCTTTTTCTGTTGCCTTCTTGCTTCATCTATGACTGAGTTCAAAGTAGTTGCTACTGTTCCATGCATTGTCACAAAACAAGGAAAAATGGATCCTCCCTTCCTACAGATCTTTTTCATGAGTGAGAAAGCATTTCCTAGGAACTTTTTCATGACTTCCCCACTGACCACAAATAGGTTCTGTAGTGCAACAATTCTTCTTTGGGGAGCAGTAAGATTAAGAGGCCTAAACACTGTCAACCAATTTTCCTACAGTTCTGTAGATCAGAAGCCAAGATGAGTGTACGGCAAGGTTCTTCTTCCAAGCCCCTCTGCTAACCTTGTAGACAATCACCTTCTCACTGTGTTTTCTTATCATAGCCTTTCATTTCTCTGTGTGTATTCCTGATGCCTCCCTCTGGGCTCAAATTTCTTCATCTTTAAAATAGACTATCTGTGTTGAATTAAGAATTGTCATAATTATCTATTTTTCATTGGAGAATATTATTTAAAGATGTGTCACATTTTTTTTTTTGCTGTGGAACATTTGTTTAATGATGCAAAGACGTGTTGAATTCTTTTATGCTGTATTTGTTTAACTCTGTGAGGCTGTGCTACTTTGCCTGTGTTTTAGACAAGCAATAATAAAGAGCTGAATAGTTGATAGCAAGGCAGGAGAAAGGATAGACAGGACTGGAAGGCAAGGAGAACAAATAGAGGAAGAAATCTGTGAAGAAAAGCAGAAGGAACAAGAGAAAGGAGGAGGACAAAGGGGGCAGTCACCCAGCTACACAACCAGCAATGGAGTAAGAAGGAAAGATGTACAGAAACAGTAAAAGGTAAAAGTCCAGAGGCAAACTGTAAACAGGACAATTTAAGCTAAGGGAAGGTGGCTAGCAACAAACCAAACTAGGACCAGACATTCATAAGTATGAAAAAGTCTCTGTGTGTTTATTTGGGAGCTGGGTGGCGGGCTACACAAAGAACAAAAGAGTAAAGAGTAATCAAACAACAAACAGCTTCAAGTTTTCACTTAATCACCATGTTGAAAAACCTTATCTCCAAACATAAACAAACTGAGGCACTGAACAAGGACTTCTGCATGAAATTACCACAATTCACCCCCCTACATAGCAATTCCTGTAATTACAACTGGCAGGGTGTAAAACACCTGCCTTAAGACAATGACCTGGCCATGGGCTGGATGCTGGTGACTTATACAACAAGACTCTGGCCTCCATTTTGAGAATAAATCCTAACTCTTGTTTCTAGTATTGACTGACTCCAATCTCTCTCCACACAATTGTTTTATCTTTAAGCACAGGGGCTGTACCTTAATCTGCTGCTATTTTGACTGTTGATTGTCACTCTGCAGTTACCGCACAGCTTCTCTGGCAGCTCTCTGGCAGCTCAAGCCTCAGCCTGACAGGAATTCTTGTCCTGCAGGCACGGGCTCTGCCACTTCAACTAAAGTTAGTTTTAAATAAATTTCTATCATTGTATTTATAAATAAAACACAAGATTCCAAACCTAGGTGAAAACATGCTAGTTCAGAGAGGTCGAACAGCATCTAGCTAACCTTCTCTCCTTGCCATTGCTTCCCAAAGAGAGCCTATCCCTCAACTCTCCCAAAACAGGAAAAGCAAAGACCCTCAAAACCCCTCCCTACTACTTCCAGGGCATCTCTTTATCTCTTCCAGGTGCCCTCTGATGCTCTATAATTACTTTCTGTCCATTAGTTGCTAACCCAGTCTCCTGAACTAAGGTTAATTTTATTTAATTAATGCAAATGCAAACTCTGGGTTACCAGTGGGATCAAATATCCCCCAACACCACACTGCTGCCAACAAGGATCCTTATAAGACACAAGGCTTAGCTAAGACTGATAGCCCATAACTGTAATCCTGGCATCTGGGAGGTAGAGACTCAAGGGTAAAGTATTCAAGGTCATCTTGGTCTTCATTGTGAGCTGAAAGCCAGCCTGAGCTACAGGACAAAGATCACTATCCGAAAAAAGCAAATCAACACACACAGACACCCAGAAGCATGGACACATAGACATACAGACACACACACCATTCACATCACCACCATGATGATTCTTGTGATCCCATTAAAAATATTATTGTCTAAGCCCCATCTTAAAACAACAACAAAAAAGTCACCCTGTATCAGCTGGGCATCAAAGCCCATCTGTTAGTTGCCTCTCTCTGTGACTTAAGTGATTTAAAACAGGAGTTATTTCTTTTGTTTACGAGGCTACAATCTGAGCAGCACATGGAGGGCATGACTCACTTCTGCTGTGTTTAACGTCTGCTGGCTTGTTCCCATGCTTCCCTTGTCTTTGCTGTCAGGGTGAAATTTCAGGGCTGAATCACTGACACATTTGAAAGCAAGGCAAGCCGATCGCTGGTGGTCAGAGGCTTGTATGCCTGGCAGCTGCTCTCTCCAGTCTTCCTCTTCCTCTCTTTGATCGTCATGTGTCATTTAGGTCAACTTCCTCATGCAGTAGAGTACAATAAAAGACTTTGGCAGTGTATCTGTAGAACCAATGAGTGTTATATCTACTATTGGCAGTGATGAGCTGAGTGAGAGCAAGGTCAGGGGACAGACATTATCCCATTGGCCTTTCTTCTTGTTGAAAACCTTGCTGTGCTTCAGACTAAACTTGGCAATATTTGAGTCTCTGCTGTGTGTAGTGACAAGCTGGAAGTTCTGGTGAAGTGAAAACATGATATCAAGAAT